GTACTTGAACGTGTAACACGAATGCACGGATTGCGCCATCAAAGGTCGTTGCAGTACCGAGAATCGTGACGATAAGATATGACTCATAGTGTAGAGCCTGATAACACCTACAGTCAATAGTTGCAAGAACCTTGGTCAAAACTCCAGCTTTGGTTCGTCCATTAGTAAACAACCTCTTGAAAACACTGTAGTTCGGCTGAAGTTTTGTTAGTAAATTAACATGATTTTTTTCCTTTCAAGCAATGACTTTCCCTTTATTGCATTTGCTATAACATACACCATCACTGCCACGGCCACAAAGATCTTCAATAGTTGACATGTCGATCTTTTAAAAATTTCGCTTTCGAACAAAGCTACCACGCGACCCCTTTGCACAGGCCGGTTCGAAAATACTTTACGTGTGTGGGGAGAAGACGACTCCGGTCAAACTGTGCAGTTCTGGCCTTAATAAGGCCAAACCTTGAGGCCGGGACGGAACGTGTTTGGTAGGGGTTGGTAGGGTTGAAGTAATTCCGAAAAAGATATACACGAAAATATTACTTTGAGGACGATTTTTAGGGGTGATTTAGAATATATTTGAACATACTATGAAAAAATCACATCAAATCCATATCATACCAGAGATACTTTTATATACACTTTATTTACACCTCATAAGTTAAAGTGCCACTACCGTGTTCCATCAGTCCTCACTGGCAGACATTTAAAAAATGAGTGTAGGAGTTTTGCCAACGGGTATCAGGTAGAAAGGGTCCCCATCCGTGAATTCCTCATACTGCGGAGTTTTGCCAACGGTTGTGGGTTGCGCGAGAGGTTGAGGGGGGGAGAGAGAGATTACACGTGACCGCTAAGGGTGGACAAACCAGGCAGGATGCTGACTGTGTTCAAAGTAATGGAGTTATGCACCTCTGACTGTGAAAGGAAATGTATTGAATTTTTAACCTAACCTAACCTGACCTAACCTGACCTAACCTAACCTAACCTAACCTAACCTAACCTAACCTAACCTAACCTAACCTAACCTAACCTAACCTAACCTAACCTAACCTAACCTAACCTAACCTAACCTAACCTAACCTAACCCACTGCGACAAGCGCATAACTGCCAAACGTAGGCAACCCTGACAATCGCTCTCCCTCCCTCCGTCACACTCATTCTCCCACCACCACCGTTGGCAAATCTCCGCACCAAGAGGTGGCCGAAGGCATCCCCCCATCTACCTGACACCCGTTGGCAAAACTCCGGTTCCCTTAAAAAATAATTGTATCCTCGTTATTGCAATCAATTATTTTAGTTCTGAAATTTAATTTTAGTAAGTAGACTCAGGTGTTGCAATGTATGTTGTCAGTTTAGTTGAACCATTAAACTTTGCTAGAAGGTATGATTCCGCAATCCAAGTAGACATCTAATATTGGATCAGTTTAAGCTCAGAATCGTAGCTTGCTATGAAGATGGATTGATGCACCGCGTCCTAAACATCTACCAGTATTCTACTAATAAATTACATTAATTGGTGTATGCCTGCCAGGGCTATATCCAATGTGGAGGTGTACAACATCAATAAATAAGAGTCAACAGTAACTTACCTAAAAGTGCTGCACCAATAGAGACAAGCCCTTGCAGTATTTACAAAACATTATACTCAGTGTGTGCAAAGTGCAATTAGAGGGTTGAATGACCTTGTCTCGTGAATATTGATAAGTTTGATTGTCAAGGGCAGCGCTGGCATTTGCATGTCTGGTGGCCGCCAAATCACACTTGACTATCTTCCATTGATCTGGATAGCGAGATAATGTTCCTGGTTTAGCAGCCTAATTGTGCAAAATATTTCTATTCATGTCTATGTCTATTCAGCGAACAATTTTGGCATTTGAAGCGCTGGACAAACCAACGCAAAGAACCTTTTATGTTCCTACGCTACCTGGATTACTCAGCCTTTTTTAATCTCCTTATCACCTACTATTTCGTTAGGCTAATTTTTACGAGGCCACTTTTTTATTTTCATCAAGGTGATTTAATTACAAATTGTATTTGGATTTTGATTTTTGAGTTGAAATCAATGCTACCGATGGATTAATTTAAACGGCAAATTAAAATAAGCCCAAATTTAAACATGCACTTATTGTGTAAACCAAAAAAGATTAAATCGATTGTCACTTTCCTTGTATAACATTAAAATGCAAGGTTTCGATAGATTCCACATTTGTACATTGACATGTACCTTAGAATTGCCAAATATCTTTATTGTTACAAAAAAAACTACTGTAGTGGCTGACAAACTTTTATGAGTTTCTTCGGTGGAAAACATATCTTTATGATAACACATTTCCAGGCGAGTTAGAATATCAGCAATTCCTATGAGAGATTGTAGTTGTATCGTTGACAATAGCTACACTCTACACTGTTCTGAAGTATACATAGCATTCCAATGTAAAACTTGTTGTCATTTCAGAATAAAATTATACGTTCAGTTGGGCCAACGATAGAGTATACAGGTGCAAAATAGCCAAATTGAAGGCTGATTTCACCTGTGCTTTGGCACCAATTGATCGCCGTTGCACTATTTGATCATGGAGCGTCTGCTTCGACCATATAGACCGGCTGGTGCGACGTTGCCACACACCAACGCCGCGGCCTTGTATTAGAGGAGGCGATGACTATAGTATTTAATAGTTATAGTTTATAGATACATTACAAGAATAGATCCTCAGAAACAGTGCAGTTGGACTGTACAGTGGTGTAGAGTAGTGTTGTAATGCCAAGGACGGGTCAGAAGTGGCACATTAACATAGTACATCACGCCATCGCCATACTAAGTCACCGTTTCTACCACTCTGTACACGCTATGGCGCGGTCTTTGTACTGGTGTTAGTTCGTTAACGAAGCGGTGTATCTGCATACTTCAACTAAAATATGCTTTGTTTTGCGATGCAAACTTATAATATTAATATGTTACGACTGAGTAGTTGTAATTTAAAATGTGTGCTACGTAAGATTGATTCTGATTCACGAATACCTTTTACTACGGTTGATATCAATTTTTTTACAATTAGTAGATTAGAGTTTTTTTTATTTATATTTACATGACCGAGGCGAGATCACTTTCACAAGCAAGGAGAGTCTAATGGGTAAAATGTGGTCAAAAATGTTGCATAAATTGATATATCTCAAGACTGAATAAACCCAGGATGCTGAAATTTTCAGAGATTGTTCTTTGTAGTATTAAAAAAATCCTATGTATTTTGAAGTAACTATTATGCATATTTACTGTAAAAGAAACGTTTAATGTTAAAGTTTTCAAAATGTTAGTTTTTTTTTGTTTTTTTTTCTGCTCAACAGTTTAACTCAGACATATGAGTATGCATGAGCTTTTAGTTCAAGACCAAGCCTACAATTCAATAACAAAATAATTAAAATAGGACATATGGTACTAAAGTTACATAGCAATAAAAAAAATTAAAAACCGATAATTTTCTGCTAATAAATTGTGTTAACTATATACTATAGTGATATTGATTTATTATCCTATATCCCTTTAAGTTAGTTCAACGACAACTATATACAGGGTGATTGATATAAGTGTGCCAGCCGTTTTATTCGAAAACTATAAGAGATATCAAAAAAAGTTAAATGGTAAGTGCCTTGGATTTTTCATTTAAAAAATTGTAGTCAAGTCAAAAAAATTATTTTAGCTGCCATTTTTCAAATATGGCCGCCAACTTTGATTTTTCTTATGGAACATTCTGTATTTTATGATGTATTCTGGTAGAAAATGTGATTTTAAGACGATTTTATTCTTGTGATTTTTTTCATAAACCTAACCGTTTCAAAGATAATAATGGTTAAAGTTTTGAAATTTTTGCATGAGAAAGTGTTTCGATACAGGCCTAAGCAAGCATGCCAGCTGTTTTATTTGAAAACCATTCAAAATTTCACAACTTAAACCATTATTATCTTTAAAACGGTTAGGTTTATGAAAAAAATTACATGAATAAAATCGTCTTAAAATTACATTTTCTACCAGAATACATCATAAAATACAGGGTGTTCCATAAGAAAAATCAAAGTTGGCGGCCATATTGGAAAAATGGCGGCTAAAATAATTTTTTCGACTTAACTACAATTTTTTAAATAAAAAGTCCAAGGCACTTACCGTTTAACTTTTTTTTTATATCTCTTTTGGTTTTTGAATAAAACGGCTGGCACACTTATATCAATCACCCTGTATATTGAATTTAAAAGGTGAAAGCTAACTACTATATAAAAAAATACCTTAACGAGTGTCGTATTTATCACCCCTCTCCCAGCTTCAAGGAAAGAACAGAAAGATCAGAAGGTGGGACAGTTTGTTTCTGAATTTCCACAAAAGTACAACCCTTTAAGTGGTTGTCGATCTTTGAACTCGTGTCATAGAAAATCAGAGCCCCACACTTTAGACCATCCCTCCGGGATTCTTACTTTTTTATTAAGTCGCGATATTCGTTATTCATTTAGAAGTTTATTTTTCAATCCAGGTTAATATTTTCGTTGTAACGCTTAACTCTTTTACCAAACCAAATGAGCAGTTACTAGTGTGTGTGTGTGTGTGTGTGTGTGTGTGTGTGTATAGATCGTTCGCGTGCCGCACAGACCAGCGGTCACTCTGACGCGTGCGCTTCCACCTCCTCACACCACTGGACACTGGCCATTGTAGCCATGTAGTGGTCTGGTGCGGTCGATCACACTGTGTACACTGCCGTACAGTCGATACCAGCTGAAACACTCGCCATTCAATACCCCTGTACAGATTTCTAGTTAGTGAGGGTAGTTGGTAGTGCCAAAAAAAGGGAAAGTAGTTTTAAGAAGTTTGAGAAGTGCGAGTTTTTATTTTTGAAATTGTCTGAGTCTTTGGGAGTTTTTTTATCAGGTTCTACAAGGAAGGTTGTTTGGTTCAACGCGTTTTATTCGATAAATTGTGTGAAGATTTTTTACACTGTCGGACTTTTTGATTAATCCCTTCAGAATTTCTCACGTACAATATTATGTGCGACCATGAGCGTTGCTGAGGCGATCTATGGCGCGAATGGATCGGAGAAGACAAAGCTGGCCAATGGCGTCGCGTTCAAGGTCTTCGATGACATCAAGAAGTCAAACAAACCGCGGCGCGACGGCTTCAACAACTTGGCCAACTCGAGCGACAGCATCTACAAGAACCACAACTACTATCACAAGAACTGCTTCACGCCAGCGGACAACTTCAACACGTACGTCAAAGCGAGCGGGAAGAAGGAGAACAACGCGTCTAAGGAGTTCTTCAACAGCCTCGACTCCAAGCTGAGGAATCTGAACGCGCCGAGGAAGCGGACGAAGACGGCGTTGGAGAACAGGCCGATGTTTGTGACGACCGTGAAGACTGGGATATTTCTGGAGCCTCCTCCCGAGATCGCGGCCATACTTGGTCTCCAGAGTTTCAACTCTTCGGTGAACGGATCTTCGGGCTCGACTGGGTCGCTGCATCCTTCTAACAACGGTGACGAAGTGATCATGTACAGCTTCGCCAGTCAGCCTAGGGTTGTGAACCAGAGGAATGGCAGGAGTAGGGTGACGCCGCCCAAGGAGAACAAGAGAGGCAACAATAACAGCTACAACAACAACAGCAACAACAACAACAACAACAACAATGGTAGTCTCAACAACGTGAGGAAGAAGCGTGACCTGAACGCGTCAACTCCAAAGAAGACGTAAGTTGAATATTTACTATTCGTAGAGTTTTTCTGCGAAACTATCAAGATATTTTCTCTATAGTAAAGAGAATAATTGTCTCAATTAACGCAGTATACTACCCTCATAAAAACGTTAAACTTCAGTCTAATAAAATCAATGGTTTTATTTTTCACTTGTAAATGTATTCTTTCATATTCATTAGTTTACTTTATTTAACTGAGTATGTCTATTTAACTTTCTATTAAAAGATAATGAAATATAATATATATTATTATACCATTTTGATCTACGAAATGTGCTTCAAAATATAAACCTTTAAGTTAAGTTAATATAACCTTTAAGTTCTAAGTTAAGTGTTAAGTTCTAACCTCTTACGTTACATTTATTAGGCACTTGAATGCAATAGCCATCTTTCGAACGTTCAGTGAAATATAGCACTCTCTACCTACTTGTCTACATATGATATTTCAAAACAAAAACCAAGTTTCAGTAATCATAAATAACCAGGGTTTTCAATGCTGTCAAAACCGATGATAGCTAATTGTATGCATTAATGCTGGCAGATTATGAGCATTCTTTTGTACGTGAAAGAAATGTACGAAACTAGAGACTAAACATACAGAAGGGTAAAATCAACAGTGCAGGAAGTATAAACAGACGGAACTATTGCATTGATGGAATCAATAAAGAAAACTCGTCGGACACTCACCCCGACAAGTGATTGTTCCGTGGTCTGAATATTTCAAGTTGAGTTGGTCATCAACTGCAGACGGATGTCTACCAAACATTGCAGACGTCACGCAATGGAGACATAGTCGTTGATGATGTCGTTGTCTTCAAGATTGAAATGTGATTAGAAATGAGTACGGATAAAGAATACTAGAGAAGCATTTTTGACTGTGGATGGGACTTAGAATTTTTAGTATCCACAGAATATTCAAAGTAACTTTTTCACTTATAATTTTGCTAAGCCCACCTGGAACCCAAGGGATCAGCTGTTTATTTCCATACATCTCTATTTGATAGCTTCTCTCTTAATCTCTTTCGATAGCTTTTCTTTCATACTCCTCAATTCAATTCCCTTTTACGTTTTTCTTGGTGTTCCCACTCTCCAGCGCCTTGAAGAATGGCATTCAAAACTTTCATTTGACATGTCTTCATCTCTCTTCCTTAAGCGGCGCTTTTACTATCTCAATTTCCTTGTTTAAATTCTTATTTCAATTGGCTCCTGATTAGAGTGGTGACACAATTCCATGGTCACTTGATACATTGCTAAGAATGTATCTACTCGTGTTTGAACTTCAAAGGTGCTATACGTTCTTCTTTATACACCATAGCCTACTCAGTTCCTTAATTTTTCAATTGTATCACCCCATCTACATACAATATATTTTCTACTTTTTGATTTTTTAAGAATTTGTATTTCGATTACCTTCCTATATGTTGTCCTTCTTTCGTTTAAGTTGTCTTCCTTTTGAGGCGTTGTTATATTAAAAAATTACATTTAAAATACAATCAATGCATGGCAAGATGGTGGTGTAGGGGTCGGAAGCGGGATAAGATCTGTTGAAGGGGTTGAGGCACCTTGGAACGCACGCTAGTTGTAGATTACTGCCCTTAAGGTGGTAACACTGTCTGGTAGAAGGGCAAAAAGTAGCAGTCTAAATCAATAGTAAAATCTTTCTTTGAAGCGAAACTTTTCCACTTAAAATTTTCCAATAGGATTCTCCTAAATTATAAAAATTAGGAAATATGTTCTTGGAAAAAAAATTGTCATATTTCCTAATTTTTCTCTAGTATTTAAGTTATCTTAGTATTTGTTTGTAATTACACATTTATAATAAATTTTTATCAGTCACCCGATAGAGTCTCTTCCCATTACATGATCATAAGACATATCAAATAAACAACTATGTAGCTTCGCCGTGTGGCTAAGCCAAATGACAAATGTTTACTTAGTGTTTTGTCAACTTTTAATTTTAATGATAGACGCAATCGGTTTATTACAGCGCAGTAGTTCGTGTTGGAAGACGCGGGTTTAAATCCCATTAAAGACTGCTATGTTATTTTAGCTATGTAATAATGTCACAGTCCTATAGTCTAGAGTACATGTAAATACTCATTGGTTCACTTATTTCACAACACAACAATGGATATGACTTGTAGACTGGGGAAACAATCTCTTCATTCATCTAAAATTTTAATTTCCAAATAAGCGGAGTTACATCTTCAGTTTTAGCCTGAATTAAGGTTAATAATCGTCTGTCAAGTATATGGTCAGAAATCCACGTTTAAATGTAACGTAAAAGTCTTATTCATCACTCCTTACAGAAAGTTGCTATAGTTTCTGTTACATCTCTACAGTTTATACAGTGGAACCTTGATAACAAGACCCTCGATAACAAGTCACCCTTGATAACCAGTGTCATTTTCAAACTCCCAAGAATTTATTTTACCCTTTAATTACATGTTATTGCAAACCTCGATAAGAAGTCAACCTTGATAACAAGTCTTATTTGATAATCTTCATGAGAGTCTTGTTATCAAGGTTCTACTAAAGGCAAATAACACTGACTGATATATCATCACTCACTCTATATAAAAAACCCACCTAGAATGATCAAGTTTAGTACAGGGGGTCCCTGTATGGTGTAGATGGGCATTGGGTCCCGTCTCTCGTATTGCAAAGCTATACACTCATGGAACTTGAGCACTCACTGGAATATGCCACATTCGGTACTTGTGATTTTTGGAAGTAACATTTCCTTTTTTCTAGATTTTTCATGACTAATTAGTACCTATCATTAAATATTCTATAACGTCAGACTCATAATGCAAAAAATATATAATTTTATAAGGGTTGTCTAACTAGGAGCTTTAAAAGCTATTTCTGTGGCGTGACAGCTATAAAACCCTCTTTTACGTAAAAACTACAACACTTGGAATATGATAACATCAGAGTCAAGGATCCTTCGGCACGCCATGCGGTCTTTACAGAGCTGAAGATACGTTCGTTATCGTCACAAGAAACACTTTGTACAATGTCTAATCAATTGACTTACACTTTACAGTAAGTAATTGGCAATTTGTTTTATACGTTTTCGATTCAATAGACACTAAATCTTTGCAAAAATAGAAATAAGAAATACTTTTTGTACACATTTTTAGTTTGATTCCGGGGTTTTAAGTGTGTCCGTTTGTTGTTTGTAACACTAGTTTAGTTAAAGGTACAGTGAGGGTATTTTCAATACTGAATAGCGAAACATAAATTTCACAACGTTTCGGGATATGGAATATGAACGCTTCGTCAGATCACAGAAAACATACTACATGGTCAGATGGATGAAATATACAACATGACAAGATTAGTACACAAACTGGACAGTTCCGGAAAGACACTAGCTGAAAACTGCTCAAATTTGGTTCCATTCTTTGGAGCATGTGGGGAAATATTACCATGATTTATTCTAAAATGCAGATAACATTTTAAAATGTAAATTTTGAGGAATAAATTTATATTTAAGTTTTTTTTAGGTTTAATGTTAATTACGTTAATAACGCATAACAATGAAGCTAGATTTAAAAATGTATATATGAACCTTTTAATGGGGGAGATCCCCCTTCGATACATGTCAAAATTCGCAACAGAAAACTGTTATACTTTATAAGGGGAACAAAACACAGTTTTCAATGGGCTCCGAAATCGACGAAAGAAATCTGGCGTATTCATTCAATCAACAGAGTCCGTTCCTGGGTCGGAACAAAGATGTTAAGGCGTTGGGTAGTTGATTTAGCTACACGTCTGTCGTGCGTAGTTTGCCTATAGGCCAGGCGTTTAAAAATATCACAACCAATGGAATAAATAAAGAGTACGTAGCACATCAATTTGTATTTAATTTGTAATGCTCTTTAAGTATTACTTTTACAAACGTATACACGAAGATCATTGTATATTAATTTACAAAATTAATATAATACAAAATTATCAAATATGTTTCTTTTTACCTTAACTGAATGATCTGAACTGAATGTACATTTTCTGAATGTTTTAGTACAGTACTGTATTTTCGTATCGAGCCTGGGAACGAAGATTTCCGTTTGATTTGTGATTTCCAAACAGGTCAATAATTTCAAAAATGTTCTACTTGATTTCCATTCTATTTTATAATTTTTTACTGGACCTGATCTAATGGACGTTACATTTGTTATTGATTAGTGTTGAGCAACGCTCCAAAATCCAACTAAACTACGGAGTTTACCAGCAAGACATCAATACACAGGTTTACGTTTACACGCCATCCCTTATCAGATGACCTCTGCCTCTGACCTTGGTTGGTCTCCCTTGAAGTCCGAATAAACTGATGGAACATTCGGTTATTTCGTTGCTCACTTCATTCCAACTAATATAGTGACGTAGCAACTCTGTTTGTGGTTAAAATGCAAAATTGTATTTTGCAAATAAATATTTTGTTAGATTATACTGTCTTGGCCAACGTGTTATAGTGTTGCAAAACATATTTTATTTAAAAATATTCTTAGTTCTGTTCCACAAGGATTTACTGTATGAATAAAAGTCATAATGATTCATAGGCAAAACGGTTATCGTATTGCTGTGAAACCTTTTTTAGGCCCAAAGGTTGTGGCATTAACACTTTGATATAATCATTGGTAATTGTCGGTATTTGAACTAGGGACCTTAAAGACCGGATACGTTGTACCACTAGACCAGCTCGCTCCATATTCCGTGAATAATATCACTTGGTCGGTTTTTGTCTTCCACCTAATCTTAAAATACCTTAGTGGCCTATCATTCCGGGCTTTGAAAGTTACCATGGGCATATTTTGAGAATCTTTATACTCCATTAGTTTCTATAACAAAAATCACCACTCGAAATCAATGATGAATTAAGGCATTTTTTTACGTTTGTCAAAATTCAATCAGGCCAGGTATAACTACGTCATCTTCAAGAAGAACTGTTAGCATAAAAGAATTATATGTGTCCATCTTATATGTTTTACCTTTAACCAATTTTTATTAAAATAGAAAAGTAAAAGAACCCCTCACAGAGTGTGCTCCCAAAAATAATAGTTTCAAAAATTTTTTTTTCAATTTATATTTTTTCCTTACATTTTGATACTAGCCCACAACAGCCGATGTCAATAGAAAAGATATGGTAGGCCTGCGTTAATCTATTCTGCAATAATGCCATTGATTATGGATGATACATAGTATTCCGGTTTCTAGCTGTTTTCTTCAGTACTGTACTAATACAACTTTATCCTTTCACAGTTAACGATCTGTTGCGAAGGACTGGTAAAACGTGTCATATTTTTATCGTGCGACTACCACTCAACACTCACACTGTTCCTTCAACTCATCCAAAGAGTCTGTTCTTTGTCCGGTGACATCGATTCACGTTGGGGTTGCATGTGACGTGTGATGCAACTTTAACTAGTCCTTGGTGCAATAGTCAACAAGACAAGTCTGTGGTCGATTCTGTTGTGTAGTTTTTCTACCATCTTGCAGACCAGTTTTGATTTAGTAATATAAATCCCTGGAATAATTCAGTTTAGTTTGAAATTGGAAACTCTTAAGTATGAACAACATGCCTGTTTGTTTGGATATAACTATTTTCGTATGCTATTCAAATGACATATGACCAGGACATTTCTCGTTATTGTAAAATCTTAGGGTTATCCTTGTGTGTGTTTTCATCTCTAGTGATTCAATGTAAATGTGATTCGATGTAAGCAGAGGACGATCATTATATTTGGGTGTAATTATTTGGCAACTAATTTAACCAATAATAAGCAAAGCGTTGAGGAGGATAACAATTTTTTAACACTATCTACAGCTCGTCCCGTAAGATAATAAATATAAAGGAGTGTACTGTCGATGAATCGAAAAATATTGGCCAACGTTTCGGATGCATTGCACTAATCTATGTTCAGGCCAGTCCAATTAAATTCCTAACAGTGGTATGAGGGTGTTTAATCTTGTTATTACCAGATTATCTTATCTTACTAATATTATAAATGTGAAAGTTTGTGTGTTTGTTTGTTTGTTTGAAGTTCAATCACGCATTAACTACTGGACAGATTGGGCTGAAATTTGGCAAGATGATAGCTCACATTCCCGATTAACATATAGACATATTCTTATCTCAAAAATCCTTTCGGGCTCCGCCCCAGTGGCTCTGCAGTTCCCCATGTTAACCTTATGAGTATTCATATTTAAAGGGAATTAAAGAATTTAGTCAGCTGTTTTAACTAAAAAAGTTGGTTCTATGATACGCAAAAGCATTAAAAAGTTATAAGATTTACCAACAGAGTGCAGCACTATATTTTTTTGCATTTATGAAAACAGCTAATTTAAACTAAGCAGCAACAAAAAACTGTGATACACAATGAGAACTAACTGTAAAAAAAAGGATTGTTTACAGTTATGTTTATATTTTTAATTTCATGAATAATCTGTGATATTTTGCGATTTTTTGTAATTTATTTTTCTCTATTGTTTAGGTGAAGTGGTATAACATTATGGCTATGGTAGATGTGTAACTATAGAATACTGTAAATTTAAAGAAGCAAATTTTATCAAACTGAGTCCTTCCTCATTGCAAACGCAAAGCTTGAGTATAACTGCAATAAGCATTTTTTATACTTATATGCCAACCCCGTACGAAGGACGGGTACTCTGCTAGTAAATTATAATTCTTCTGGACAATTGCAGCTCCTGAAATTTTAACAGTTAAATTTGATCTTGCAAAAACTTCAGACCGTTAATTTTTTGTTGCAAGCTTAAAACTATGACAGAATTTGACATTTTCAGAGATGGGAGTCCCTTGCCCTACGGCAACATCATGTTTGACCGACGAGTTGTTAGAGGCAGCACTTTCGCTCAACATCCGACCCCAACGGTGAGTATCACAATACTAATATCACGTGAAATACCAAAATGTGGCTAGTATTGTAGTACCGTTGAGCAATTCAGTAGCAGTAGGCTGTGAAGTGGTGTGGTTTTCAACGTTTTTTCACCAAAGAGTGTCTTTAGAAATTAATTCCTTACAGGAAAGGTTAAATTTGAATATGAGGGATATTGCTGTAGAAGTAGATGAGTGATTTTCTAGTAGTTGGTAGACAATTAGTTTTACTTGTGAATACTGTTATATACTTGTGAAGAGGAACTCCTTGCCGTAGACATTGCATACTATACATAAGTATATGATTCGTTAAAACCCCTATTTTCGAATATCAATTCAAACCGACTTGAAATATTCGGCAAATGCTGTTTGCAATGATATCACTGTAGTTTTGATTACACACATACGCAAATATAATAATATAATATAATATAGTATATTTCTAGTGAGTCGGTGGCTCAGTCGGTAGCGTCGCTGACTTCGGGCCCAAGGCGGCGATGTCGTGGGTTCGGATACTGGTCTTTGCCGATAACATTTTATCAGTACAGTTCACCTTTGTACTGTACCGGCTCACTCCTTGCTTTGCTGTAAACGATCCACGCACGGGCGCTTAGTCTATGTGGACGGGCAAATGCAAGGTTAAAAGAGGCCGCCAACCTCTTTAAAAAAATATATAAATAAATAAAAAAAATATACGGCCTATTATAAAAGCTGAGCCAATGCTACTGCTTCAGCCTGTCGAGTATTCTTCATGCATTACACAATGGTCCTCTGAACTCATGACTCATTGAAATCAGAAATTTTTCAAAATACACATGGCTCTCAGAGATTGTGACATAGCTGTCGTATTATCGATCTTCAAATCTCTCATCTCTTTGGAAGCTATATTTTCTGATAGTTGACCGTGGAAAATCCCCAATGCTTAAATTTGTTGTATGTTTAATAAATTCTATCCATTTTAAAATGGCCATTAAATTAATAAAACAAGACATTTTTTAATCTATACCCTACTAGTAATTTTTATGAGTTGAATTTACCATTTATTTATTTGATTATAGAAAACACGATGTGTTACATAATCGGTGGTAATACTATTACTGTTTTAAAGTACACCCAAGTTTTGAAAGTAGGCTACTATGTCGTTAAAATAAACTCAAGAAGTAAATAGGCCTACTATGCAGTAGTAAATAGGAAGGGTATAAATAGTTCGGCGAAACAATTAAAAATCACTTATCCTAGAAGACAGTTTTTATCAAGCCGGTGGAGAGTGTCGTCGTCGCCAAGTCGTTTTGATAATCCATCGCAGACGGTCAATTATTCAATCGACACTCCAGAAATAGGACGATAGACGGCACTTAAGTGTCGATAGACATTTGACACTTGCATCGTTGTATTGCAGGGAGCTGTCAGCTGTAACGCTTCTACATAAAGTACTGACACAAAAATGTCTGGGAGATTGATCGACCGAATTTGCACACATTTCAATTTCGAATAAGTGTTAGTTGCGTAAAAATAATAGAAATATGTAAACCGATGTATGCGAAATTAAAAGCAAAACATAACCAGTACTTGCACCTATGAAAAAATACATCCACGTGAAATACGAAGAAAAATATTTTGTTACAAATCAATTAGCAAACTTCAAACGTTAAAATTGGATAATATATTATTTACAACCGTATCAAAATGAAGTTTGAGCTAAGTCTATTTGCCAAATATGCAGTTTGTTTACATATTTTTATCCGGCCAATTACCATAGGACAAGCTTTTTTTCAGATAACGGAGAGTACAGTGTCTTTGATTTATTTTTAAATATAAAATATTCAAATATTTCATTACAATTAATTGCATTGTTAAGTGGTGCATTCAGAAAGGAGTGACCAAACGGTCATATGGAAGACCGTCATCATTTTCTTGTTCGAGACCCATTTGGTTCGGTACCCTGTCACAACTAGCTTAGTGTACAACAAAAAACTACATACATACATACATTTGGCTTTGATGGATAGCAATGGTTTTGTAGAACTTTATATTGAATGTTAATATAACTGACAACCAATCGACAGACAGCTTAACTGGATATACTTTGGTTACATATGAGGGCTTACATTGCAAACAGATTTACTACAGCATTGCTCATTCAGTAACGCTATTGCGACATTTAATCTGATCTAACATTTACACTTTTCATAAAGGCAAAGTGGAACCCGTATGTGTCGAACGCTAGAGTTCTGTCGTCGGAGGTGAGAATATAATTTATAAATATCAATTTTAAGTTTAAATGTTTTATTTTTGGAATAGGTTTTATTTTAATAGCATGTTATGCTTGTGCAATAAAACTTCTGGGGTTGTTTTTAACAACTTTTGAATTAACAATATCAATCAAACCAAAATTATTTAAAAAAATAATTGTATAGCAAAAACACGACTTTGCCTCGTGTTTAAAAATGGTATATTTTGGTGCACATTGAGTGACACCTAATTTGGTGTCCTTTCTTACTGTAATTTAGTTCAATGAAAGTACTAGGTTTGAGTTTTTTAAAAATTACCCGCAGAAGTGTTAGTTAATCAGTAGTCTTACAACAGTAATCTTTGTCCGAACAGAGATAGTCATGATTCTATTTTTAAGTTTTGAATGACTGCCTGTTTTACTGGGTTAAAAAGATCATTATATTTTTCAGATTGGTTGTATTTAAAAATGGGTCGTAATTTAAAGTGGGTTTAATTTATAAAATTTGGGGCCTCTTCATTCAAATATATACCGTTTTAGGAACAATGGGCAATCGCTAATTCCCCTCATCCATTTAATTTCATCACTGAGAAGAGTTTCTAATTTTTATTTACTTTATATTGGATGTTCAAAAGTCATAACGCTATCCCAGACATTTTATTAACCCTGGACACAGCAAACTATAATAGGGCGAGCCTGCATGTCCTATGGTCCTAAGAGCCTAATAGTCTTAGAAGTTGTACTCCAGAGCGCTTGCATGCCACTGACAGTGAGTTGTCACTCTGAATTAGCAACAGCATGAATAGTTTAGTTGCAATTCTCAAGGAACACTTTGTTCTTTACATTCAAGCACTGCAACTACAAAGTGGAATTGCATAGTTCACCTTTGGGATAAATAAAGACGTGTGAACCATGAATGGTTAAAAAGGTAAGAAGTTATCTTTTACTGTACGCAAGAATACAGTTTTAGGGAAAATCTGTTTAAACCTATCAAATGTCTGTACAAATACCGGGAGCAAATTATGATATATTTTTACGTTTATTAGCATTTGACTGTAGAAGTGTAAACAAAATTTTGTGCAAACCGAAACTAGATGACGTGTCTTTACGATGCAGTATATAATCTGAGGTGTTCTTAAAACCCAAGATAATTGAATTCATTTATGTAAACTTTTGAACACATTTTCACCCAAAGTATCATCGTACAATGCTCATTTTTCATAATTTTGTAATTTTATAAAAAAATTTTCTCCGAAAACTATGTGATTAATTATAGTGTAAAGTTTTGGTCTTGCAAAACATGTCTTTAAAGTTTTTCAAGAGGGCATCAAGCAAAACAGTAAATAAACTTAGGACGTATTCACAGAATAATAAGCCTCATTATAGAAAACAAATAATTAGGCTAATGATTCTTTTTCCAGTTTATGGTTTGTACATTTATTAAGGTCAAGGTGTTAAATTGAGGCTAAACCAAAATAAATTTTATAATAAAACTGTTTAAGTAGTAGTGCGGTTGGGGATAAATAAAATTATCTTCAATAGCTATATCCAGGTAGGCCTGCTTAAAGTGATAATTCCTCAGTACAGTCATATGCCTACACCTACATTGTCTAGTTTTCTCGGTATGCCTGTGATCTACTCTAAAGTTCCTCCACTGTTGTAGGCGAGGTGTGATTCCCAGGCGGCCAGGCAGGCGGAGGCCCGACGACGGTCCATGGCTCGCAGGAAGGCCCAGGGGCAGCAGACGAGGGCGATGAGGCTCAGGATCGGGACTCCGCCCCCGGTGGAAGGTAGACAGCACGAGGTTGTGCAGACTGACCAGTACATGGAGGAGGTGAGGACACAGGGGTTTATGGGAAGTATGAAGTGGTGTAGGGAATCGTTGTTATTGTAAGGTATGCAGAACAGCAAAAGTACAATCATGGACTTTAATAAAGGGGCGCCAGACTTTTGCTCGTGTCTTTTACTAGTTTATTAGAGCACATACGGAAAACATTTTAGTGCACCACCTTAGAATCCCTCTCCTATTTTCACATTTATTTGTTTATATTTAAATTAAACTTCAATGTACTGTTTTAATGTTGATTAAAGCCGTTTGGCTATTAAGGCTTGGGGTGTTGAAGATACTGTGAAATCGTCAGTAAGTTAACTCTGAATTTTACAGTAGATGTATAAAATAAAATTATCGTAGTTCTTCAAAACTAAAATCCCGCACTTTGGACTTTTGAGCCATGCCCCTAGCAAAGAATTTTGAACATAGACACGTCCTACACTATTGTCCAAGCACTGCAACACATTTGTAACCTTTGCATTTGCTATACCACTACCTATTTCGTCCCTAAAAGATGCGAAACGTTACCAGGAAACCTAAAAGCATCGTTTTGTTCCTAGCTGTTCGACCATCCGCCTGGAGCGACAGTCTCCTGCCAGACTGACTTCTTTCTGGACCGTCCGGAAACCCCGGTCTACGTTCCCTCCAAGACGGGACGAGACGTGGAGACGCAGATATATCCAGGAGAGGTATGCACTACATTACTTACACGAGAAACATTTTCTTTCAAGTTATAGTAATTTTATGTTATCTTTTCTCAAGGTACTAGAATAAGCTTTGATTTATCCAAACGTATACACATCCATTGCCATATAGTAATGGCATAGTTTTAATGACCTTAACCACCATTATTTGTGTTTTCGTGAATTTCCCAACTATTAGAAATAATATCTCTTTTACCCAGCTTCCGTACCATTAATAAACGTGTGTCTTGGTTGAGTATAACCATAAGAGAAAGGATGTAGTATTTTTGGCACGGGTAAATAATTTGGCCAAGTGCATTTTGCTTGATTTATCAAATAGTTTTCTCGTACGTTAAACGTCATATAATGTAATTTAGTTCCTGCGAATCCTCCGACTGATAATATACGAAATAGGCTGTTATCAGATCATATCTTACGCTTTAAATTCTTAAAGGCAAAGATATCAAATACTCAAACAAATTTGGATCAAATTATGATGAATCTTTACCTACTTTTACCAGTTGGTTACTCCATAAACAATATCAAAACATGTAATCTTGATAGACACAATAGACCACGTGCAACTCGCACTATAACACAGACATCAGTGCGGAATTGCAGCCAAGTCGATAGAGCGTCGATACAAACCGTCGTAGACTCAAGTTACGATGACGTTCATATCTATGTTGGCGGAAGTGTCTCTTTATCTGTGTTTGTCGGAGCCAGCCAAACAGTCAGATATTGATTTTGCAATTTCTACAACGACTAATGCACTTGTGCTAAAAATAGAAACATGTTGTTGTTCGTCTTTTTTCTTACGAGTATACTTTTGATTCCTTGGTTTAAATACACTACGCCCTGATGATTGTGGAAAAATTAAGCTTGGCCAATTCGTAGATTCTTTTCCACTGTAGTGTTTCTTTAGCTGTTAATCAATGATCACATTAAACATTCTGTACACTGACGAAATTGTCTTCTTCTCAGCTGTTCCACTTCGACACTGAAGTGCAGCCTATCCTGGAAGTCCTGGTTGGCAAGACTGTGGAGCAGGCGATGGTCGAAGTCCTGGAGGAGGATGAGCTTGCGGCGATCCGCGAACAGCAGCGAAGGTAAAAGTTTGGAGAAGTTTCCTCGTACTGTAGATGGTAGTATCGGTACATAAAATAGTTGTTTCTTAATATGTAGAAATGAGTGATTTATTGGCATCGCGTTTAAAATATAAGAAATCTCAAAAGATTTTGATTAGTTTAGAAGTGATTAGTATTTGCTTTACGTTGTTTCTGGTCTTCGTTTTTCTCATATTGCATCGGTTGATTTTTGCAGGTACAAAGAGATCAGAGCTGCGGAAAAGGCTGAGGAACAAAGACTGGAGGCACAAGAACTGAGGAGGAGAGAAGAAGCGGTAAGATTTGCAGATTTTACATGTAATTCGTATCATTATTGTGTAAACTTTATTTAATTGGTGAGTATAATCAAATTTATGAAAAGATTTCTGGGTTGTGCTTATTAAAAGTAAACGTTACAAATTCCATCATTGGGCGTAAAATACCGAATGAATCATCTACCCATTCCTTCAAAAAGGTGCCTACGAATCAGTTCAAATAAGGATTCGAAGTTAACGTTCTTTTATATGATGCATTATCAACGTATTGCGCAAACTAGGACTTTGATGTTTCCGTAGTGTACAAATGGTTCCGAAGGGCATACTAAAGTTGCTTTAGTATAGACCACTACTATACACACACGCGCTTTGCTATGATAAACACCACTTTAAGTATATATATGGTACGTGATTATATACAAAAATAATTAACAAGAAGATTGTTGCCTAATGAATGGCGCACACGTTTATAAGGTCAAATGACACACAAAATGCGTCACCCTATTTACAATTTTCCTTCAACACTTGACCCTTCTTAATGCTTAACTGCAGTACAGATCTAATGTAGCTTTCATCACTTGTGTGATGTGTGCTTTCACTGTAAGAGAAAAGAGGCAAACATGCTTCTGTTATGGTTATGTTAGTAAGTATTCACGTCTTTTAATGTTTATTCACGCAAGTAATGTTTTCATCTGATAGTTTTCGATTTCCACCAAGCCACTTGGTAATAGAATACACATTTCATTTTCACTGTTTATTGTCATCGCTTCCTCATCCAACCTCTGACCCCAGGAGCAGCGGATGGCCGAGATGGCGGAGGCGGCGCGGATACAGAAGGAGACCGAGGAGAGGGTAGCAGCCGCGGTCCTCACTCAGGGATACATCGCCGACCTGCTGCCGTCCGTGCTGGAGGGGCTTAAAGAGGCTGGCTACTTCATAGACGACATCAGACAAGGTGTGTGGTACAGCGGCCTCTGGGAGATTCCTTTAGATATACGTAGGGCTTAGTTTTAGTTATTTTATCTTGATAATCAATTAAATGTAAGCTGAATCCAAAGGAATGTTGTTCGATTTGGCCGAACTTCACTTAAAGTTGTAACGATCTAGAATTTCTTACCACCCTCTGATGTATTTTTAGCTTCGCTGTAAAGGGTCAGACTCCCTAATAGGCCTACTTTTGACGTCAGCAGTGTCCTCTAAAAATAAATACTGCCTGACGTTTATCCTGTGCTTTAAAGTGGCATCATTTGAGCTTTACGGTAAAGTGTAAACACAAACACTACAGTGTATGGCAATGAAATTGATCTGACATCGTGGTTTTACCATGGCCTGTTAAGTTCCATTAATTGAGTTTTGTAGTCAGTGTAAATAAATAGTCAACTCATTAGAAATAGAAGTTTTTTTAGAAAAATAACTGAATAAAAAATACACAATTTTTACAAACGGTAAAAAGTATTATGGAAACAATAAATTTCCTCTAATTCGCATTGTCATGTTTTATACTCCATTCTAATTGGCCTATAAGCTGTAGTTAATGCATGTTTACTCAATTTTGAACAACGTTTTAATGAACAACTTTTTGTGTTGTAACTTGTTGTTGCAATAATATGTGTCGTAAGACTATACATTTTATCTTGTATGAAACCCATTGGGTTATTGAAGAATCTGATAACAGGTTTTGTACTCGTATTCATCTACTTCTGTTTTATGACGATCTTAGTTTGATGTTATATTCGTACAAGGAAACTAATTACACTCTCTATATTATCAACCTTTGATTGTTGTTCGTTCCAGATGTGGAGGAGAACTTCATGACGTGGCTGATGGGAGAAGTGAAGCTGGAAATGCAGCGAATGGTGGACAACAGAGACTTGCTTTCTGGTAAGATTCCTCAAGAGATTGTCGGTAGGATAAATGATGGATTTGTCTTGTAACATTTCACCCTTCACACCTAGGTTGTCCTTATTCCTTGGCCTGTTCATAAAGTTTCTTGCATTACTTTCTCAAATCTTCCAGTCTCCTTAGGATTCGTCCTAAGGTTCAAAAGAACTTTCGTCCTAATGCAGCTTTAGTATGCTCTCAATCAACTAAAACCTCACAATAATCACAGTACTTAACTCTAAGATCTATTCTATGCCTTCATATTGCCTGACAAAGCTACTACACCTTCGTTTATGTTTTATGTTTTTTTCCTCAAGCATCGACACTTTAGGTCCATAAAGTGGACCATTCCTGTCACGATAGCATACATACGCATTCACTAATTCATATAAGTAAAGCCTCCATGATCATACTCTAACACTATCGTGATCTCCGAGGTAGACCCGTATCACCAACATTGAATGCTTACATTTCGCCTGGTTAAAGTGGCCATCTTCAGAGCAGGAATAGATTATGGCTTTTCCTCTGAACATGGCCATCTTCAAAGATTCTAAAACGCAAGCCTACCATGGTAGTGATGGAAGAACCCTTATGGATATTCATCCTAGACTTTCATGAAGGATTTGTTCCATAACTAGTTGTACTGGTGCGCCTCCAGTGTCACCAAACCGTGCATTATTGACAACTTCACAAACTGTCATATCGTCAATTACTACAAACCTCTTCACCAGCTCTTCACGTGTTTTTCCAGAGATAGTCCGTGAGATCCTGGAGACGCGGGCGGAGGTGTACCGAGCGATGAGTGACGGCGTTGCTGCGGACAGACCCGGCAGTGAGGAGCCCACGTCCACGCCGCTGCCTGGAGTGTCGTCCGTCGTGTTCAGCAAGGAGGCGGAGGACGAGGTCCAAGAGACCGGCGACAGCTAGACGTGAGTTGTGTTTTTATTTGTGTTTCCACGCCTTATTCACGATTTCCAATGGTACTTATTTGAGGGAGATCCAAAACCTAAACTTGTCGGTAGCCGACATCGACAGATTTTAGATGACATCAATAATTGATAACCCAATGACATATGGGTCAAGGATTGATTCGGCTCGGGGTAAAACCAGCAACTCTTTAGCTCTTCGGATACCCCAGAAAATTCATATTCTTCGAGAAAGAAGGGTGGTATGGTAAAATGTAAAAGAAACCAAAGTCCTACATTTATATCTATATTGTTCCTATTTTTAAACCAAAGAAAGCAAATTCATATTTTTACATTATGATGGGGTCTGAAGGGGCTATTGATGTTTGATGTACATTATCGATAAGTCACAGTGGACAGTGTTATTTACAATACCCCAGTTAAGCACTTACGGAGATTTGAAAGAGTTACCTATTTTCTGTTAAATATGTTTGGTTTAACTTCCTTTTAAACTTTTTAAAATGAAATCTCAAGTGATCACTTAAACAAAAAAAATTTAAACCAAAATGTATTTGACGCCCTAGGCCCGCCATCTATAGGTATCATATGGGTTACGATAACAGTTAAAATAGTTTCCATTCAATATATTTGTTAATGTGTTTGATGCCCAGACATACTTTATTACCTCATATCACGCTTCTATTAACATTTTTAACTTTAGTTTTAATGCAGTTGAATAATCATGCTCCATTAAACTTTTTTTTCTAAACATCTGTTCCTAATCATTACTATCATTTAGTTAAGATTAGAATTATTAACTTATAAAAATAACAAATATAGAATTTTGTTTCCATACCAAATATCGAACTAAATGCATATGAATTTACATAAAAATTTTCTATAACGAAAGAAGATGATGGTGCAGTTAGGAATACGTGTACTTACAAATATTTAATTTATGGACATAGTATAAAACAAACTCCCTTATGTTTAATTTATGTTATTGGGCTACAATTTTAACCCATAAATTAATTTATTGCGCAACAAAATGTAATTTCACAAGAGAAAACTGATATACAAATATTCACAATTAATGGTTTTTTGGCCGAAAGACTCGTAAATAAAATATATTATGCAGCGTGAGGCGTAGCTGGGCGAAAGGAGGTTATGGGAACGGAATACATTAAAATCAACCTGCCCTAATATCGGTGGTTGGACATTAATATGCAAACCGGGGTATGACACGAAGTGTGATTAAGAACAGCTGCAACTTGTCCGCGCTAGAAGAACTCACTCAAAAGAAAAGTATGAGAATCATTTATTGGATTGGTTATGCATTATGCATTTAATTAGGTAGCGGGTCTGCTACTGCGCCTTTCATACAAAGCGATCAAAATTAGTTTACAACAAGTAGATAAACCGTTTTTCCATCAGTTCTTTAGGCACTACCAAAACCGTCAATCCGATTGTTAATACTGATTAGGGCGCTTGTCCTATACTTGTTTGGAAGGAAAGTTTCCTGCGTTGTTCTAGATCTTAAAATGTCTTAGCACTCTGTCACCCTGTGATGGCTAAGTTACCTTGCGTAGCTCCTGAATTTGTTATCAATCACAACACTTGAATATTCACTCCCTTTTATACTAGTCTTTTTAATCTCGACACGAACTATTCGGATTGGCTTAACAGGTTAACATATTTACAGTTTTTACACTACATCACAATTTAAAAACATTTTAGTTGGCACTTTAGGCTGCGATGTGCGAGAAGTACTTCTTCTGCGATAGTAGTACTTCTTTTCAGTCTGGAACAAAATGTTGGGAGGATAACTCAGAATCATAAGATCTTAACTCTTCCTAATTATGCATGGGTATATATATAGTTTATATATATATATAGTTTATATATATATAGTATATATATATAGTATATAGTTTATATTTATGAATGAGGTCCTTAACACTATCTTGAGTGCTGTACAATCGAGGCTCATTTTATTGTCAGACAGATGATTGAAAATGTGTGTTGCCGAACAAGAGTATCTCTTCAATGTGTGACGGCACCGGGGTGTATCCAAGGCATGGGCTCTTCTAGACCATGATCATACCTGCTGTCTGATTTCAAATTTACTCAGGTTCTCTTTAAACAGGACAATACTGTAGATCAAATACTGGTTTACAACTGTGAGGATTCGCAGTTCCTTAAATATAGGCCGGCAATGCTCTCAAGGGTTCTTCATTCAATAAACCACAGTGTTATTTTAATTTTATTTATCTTTTTTAAGAGGTATATCTTGGTAAACAGAGTAGTTTCATCAGAGGGCTTTCCCATACATCGTATGATTATACAATAAGGCAGAGTAGGCCTACATATTGTTATCAAATAGCAGTGTTGGGAAGTAGCGCGCTACAAGTAGCGACGCTACAGTAGCGCGCTACTTTTTTTGTAGCGTTAGCTGTAGCTATGCTACTTTTAAGATTTTGTAGCTTTAGCTGTAGCTAGCTACATTTTTAAAGTAGTTGTAGCGGAATTTTAGCTACTTTTCTCGCTACATTAACATTTGTTTGAGATACCGTAGTGGTTTTTATCATAACCTCAACCTTACGTGAAACAACCTCTTTCAAACTGAGATTTTCAAAAAAATTAGGTCTACTTTCTTGGCTTCAAACAGCTGGTTGCAGCCGTTTCATTCCCTATTACAACGTTGTGTGGACATAGAGGCCATTAAATGAGTGTTATCCACATTTTTGGCTCTCATTTCCTTAATTTACTACTCTATGATTACTGTCAGATAAAATAAAATCGCTAGATGCAGACGACGTTTAAACGGTACCGGTGACAAGAGAAGCTATTGAATTGAATGCTTGCAAGTGATTGACAGGACAGGGGAATTAGTAATCAATTTAGTTTCTTTATTATATCGATAATGCTTCAACTTGGGGTTTAATGGGGTTTAATGGAAACCATCAACACACCTTGAAGTAATGAGAAAGCTGGTCTATCAACCTTTGCTTCAGCTGTTGATTGTGGTTTATCATCACAAGCCCTTCCTTGGTTAGATTACGAAGATTTTTCAAAGGTTTACTAAATTAGCAAAGAGGAAATTACCTGATGAGATTTAAGATCTGCCTAGACTACATGATAATTGTAATGAAAAAATCTCCATATAACATGAAACTTACATTGAAAAAATAGCATAGTTTGCTCCTGCTAACAGCTCTTGTATAGGACTGAGGCTATGGTTTAAGACGAATACCAAGTTCAATTATTATGAATATATCTGTTTAGTCCTTGCAAGAACAAGCCTACTATAGCCAACTTGTTACATAGCCAAGTAGGCCTACATGTTATTTTTACTTTACAAATTTCATCATGTTTAAATTAAAATCCGATTTCAGGACAAGTTGCTGAATACTGTTTTCTCTACCAACTAGGTTGAAGCACAATTTGCCCTATGCATAATGACAATAAAGGACGATTTCTTGACATTGAAAAGTGTTATTCGTAGAATAAGTAATTTATCACTTTAAAAGTTATAGCAATGTTGTTTTTAACATTAAAAGTAAAGAAAGGCAATAAACTCCAATTTCAGTAGGCTAGGCTCTGTAACACAAAAAGTATTTTTAAATAATCTTTTTGCAGTTTTATTGGTCTTAATTGTTGATATAAAACATCTATAAATGAATCTATATTAAATTAATAAAATTAGCTTTTAAAATATAGTTTGGTTGTATGTTCTTTGAACTTAATGAAAATTACATTTTAAGATGCTTAAAAACAATGCAATATTTAAAAATAATTACTAAATATGATGGGACACCCAACTATTTGGTTCTGTTGTTGTAATGTTAGGTTTAATGCCAACAAATTAAATACAATCTAGGAATAATTTGTTTTCCAAGTAATGTTAGATGTAATGTTTGTAATGTTTGTTCAATAAAAATGTAGTTGCAATTAATTTTACATTTACCTAATGTGCGTGGAATAAAAATTAACGTCTTTAGAAAAGTAGCTAAAATTGTAGCTGTAGCTACATTTCATTGTAGTTGTAGTTGTAGCTAGCTACTTTTTCGGAACTGTAGCTGTAGCTGTAGCTAAGCTACTTTTTTGGAAATGTAGCAGTAGTTGTAGCTACATTTTAAAATTAGCTTCCCCAACACTGTCAAATAGGTCTTTGGAGTTTCCTTAGAAGGTAGAACACTCCAAATAACCCAACACATACTTTTTGGTTGTGGTTGGTCCAATTTATCCTCGAGTCCATCCAAAGTCCTCTCAGCTTCACACTTCATTCCGATTGGCCCTTGGATAAACAATCGACAAATACTTAAAAAAAAGTCCTTTTAAAGTATCCAGCGAAAAAATTCAAGCCACTCAATCAACTTTAACCTCAAACTTTCATATTTTCAACCCCTGTGTCCAAATCACCGCAACACTTGTCACTTCCCAGTGGGGGCGTCGTATCAAATACAATAACCATCATAGCTGCATCACCGGCCAATGTATTGTGGTGGTGGGGGAGGGGTGGCGACGGCTGGTGGTGAGTCACACCACGTGGTGCACCATCATTCGCCACGGCCGCCATCTTGGTTTCTCTGGCAGATTCGTCAGGGCGGGGGAGATATTGTTTCTGCAGCGAGTGTGTGACCGCAACATGTGGCTGCAGAGTTGGTTATGAGGGCGGATGTGCAAAAGCTACAGGACTTATGAATGTGAGCAAAAACTGAGAAGGTTTTTGATTGTGATAATAGGTTGGAAATGAAATGAAATGGGATTAGGTTCCTGTTCCTGATTCCTGTTTGTCTCGGAGAGATCTTATACGCCTATGTCAAACAGTTATGTGTGAACATATTAGTCTCTAGTGGTATTGTTTGTGCTTAATGAATAGAATCAATAATTAGAATAGAAAAACATCACTTCCATTCTCATTTTGTATTGTATTTAGGAATCGAACCCATACGAACATCAACCGAGCCAACCGACAATGCTGGATACGTGTCCATTGCTCAGTTTTTGTATCCCAGATGTCA